TGGCTTGTATGGCTGCTTTTGAATCCAAAAGCAGAACCGCTTTATTAAACATGTTGGGTCTGCTGATTAGTTGTTCCAATGCAAGTAGTACTGCTTCTATTTCTGCACTGAAATCTGATTTGTTTTCGCCTACCGCTATATAGTGTGTGAAAAGGGATGAGTATACTCCGGCTCCAGCAATAGCTTCTTTGTCTATCAGAGAACCATCAGTATATATATGTATCAATTCTGATGATGGGGATCTTTCTTTATTTTTATTTTTAGTTGTTTTAATTCTTCTTGTGTGTGTTCTGCTTTCTTTACGCTTTCTACTAAGTCAAGGTAGATATTGTAAGAACAATAATGTAGTGGATTTTGCACGGGTACAGAATTTTCTACCTCTATTGGTATTTTTAATTTGTCGAGATAATCTGTATTGCATACTATTATGTCTGGTTGTGTTTTTAATTTTTGTTCTGGTGGTATCTGTCTTACGATGTTATCTCTGGTATGGATATCATTTTCAAGAATGTTATTGCTGCTTATTTTCTAATTTCTTCTGTGATGGGGTTGTTTTTTGTATATAATTGTAGTGCTGTTATGGGTGTTGTCTTGACAGCTCCAGTTACAAAGTTGCTTGCATCTGTGACATTCTTTAAGTCATATAACACAGAAGAATATACACTGTGCAACTTGCCAGGATCATCTATGGGAAAAGAACACTTTCTTCAATGCCCTAATCTTAACAAGGAGCTGCAACAAAGCATGAACTTGAGTGCTCTCTATTGGGAAGCAAGAAGCAAATAGGTTAAATGATCCCAGATGCAGCCATTGGAAATAAACCAAATGTTATCAATTAAATTACAATTATTTGATATATTATTGATAATCAGGGCCCGGATTTTGATGAGCTAAAAATATCTGAAAAATTATCTATAAAATTACCAAAAAATATTTAAAAAATGACCTAAAAATTTAAAAAAATGACCTAAAACTAATTTATAAATTTTCTTAAAATCAGGTCGATGTGGACTGTGTAAATTAGTTTCCAATTTCTTGATTTTATGACACCCGGAAATCTCTTTAAACCTATCCATCTGCATTTCTGAGGCATAAATTTTATGAGTTTATGACATAGCGGTGGCTTAGAAAGCGGCGCGGGACAGTAACGACATCTCTGGCTTAGAAAGAAAAATAATGTGCCCTCTCACAAATAAATCTATTATATTTAGAGACAGACGCTAGAGATACAAAACAAAATTTACTTGAAGAACATAGATTTCTACCTCACGAATCAAATATCTTCAGGTTGATCAATGAATGTCAATTATTAAAAAACGTGAAAGATAACCAAAATTGATGTAAAACATGGAAAATTGACGAAAAATGATGTAAAAACTTGTAAAAATGACCTAAAACTTAAAACATACAAAATATGACAAAACTGCACAATAAAATTCACATTTTTATAACCAGAGGTTCATAATCGGGGCTTTAGTACTTAAAAGCAACGCTTACTACATAAAGAAAAAAAGATGACATGTCATCAAAATCCAGGCCCTGTTGATAATTGTGTCAGCTACAGACATAAAGTATTTATTACAAAAATCAGAAATGCTTTTTGAATTAGTATATACTCTATCAAAAGTATTCAAAGTAGGTAAGGTATCATAATGTGACTTACTACCAGTCAGCGCCTTAACAATATTCCAAGTACTTCTAATTCTATCATTGCAATTTAAGATCTGGTTATCATAATAAAGATGCTTACTTTTTATAATATCTCCAGCCAAAGATTTACAATATGCCTTACAATAACTTTTAATATTAGGATCATTGCTATTCCTACTAATTAAATACAAATGTCTCGTAATATAACATTTGATTTCTATACTAGGTGAGATCCACATTTTGTTCTTTGTAATATGTGACTTAAGATGATTTAGGAAAAGCAGCATGAACATATCTTAAAAATATATTTAAAAAGGAATTAAACATAACATTCACACCCCTCTCCTCAAAAACATCTTTCCATATCTCATAACTAAGTTTGTAATTGAAATCAGCTAATGAACATTTATCAGTTTTCCTTGTTTTCCAATAACCTTTGTGAAGGAAAGGTAACGTAATATCACAGATCAAAATGAGTTCAGCATCATGATCAGATATACCATTTGGTATAGGAGTAACTTTAAAAGTCCCTAATCTCAAATAATCTATAAATATATTAGCTATAGCAGATTTTGATGCATTCTGTATTCTAGTAGGAATGTCTACAGTGCTAAAAAGATTTTAAGAATTTAACAAAGAATTAAATTGACTTTTCCTACAATTATAAGTAAGGTAATCAATATTAAAATATCCACATATGATAAATTATATTTTTGACTTATATAACGATCTTAATATCTTGCCCAGTTTATGCATAAAACAAGTAAAATTACCAGAAGGGGCTCTATAAACTACGAGTATATAAATATATGATGAGCCGGATTGAATTTTGATTGAACACAGTTCAATGTCAAAATCAGAGCAATCTGTTTCAATATTTAATGTATCATAATTTAAATGATTAAGTAAAAATTACATGTTCCAACTTTTGATGCAGTTCTTCTACAATAGCTGGCACCCAACTTATAACTTTCAATAATAATACTACTCAAATCTGTGTAACTTAAATGGTACTCAGTTATGCAGATGATATGTGGAAAATCTGGATATATGGAACTTAATAATTCATTATATCTCAAGCCACAAATATTCTGATGATATATTTTCAGATGATGTTGTATAATAGGTGATTTACTACCTTTATTTAATTCGGTTGAATGTATTGCACTTGAATTACCTGTGTTATAGCATTTAGTAGTTAAAGTTTAAATTTCCCATATAAATCCTTTGTTCTTGTTACAGGCTTCTTTCTAATATGCTTTACTGATGTATTATCAACAATCTCAACTGAAGTCAGTGGACAAAGTTGATTTACAGAAGGACTTATTGTTCAAGGTTGAACTTTATGATATCTGAGTGCTATGATATTAGTGCTGAGATTATTTTCCTTCTCTATAAGAGAAAAAATCTGAAGTAAATTGAATAATAGTATTTCTTTACCCAAATCATACAAGTGTAATCCATGTTTAATACACAAGTGTCTATTTTAATTTATTTCCATCACACTGAGATGTGGAAATAGTTTTTTTGAGCTTGAGTAGTTTTCTATTAACATTAGCAATTTCATCATTGAGAGTAATATTAGGATCTTTTAGGTCGTGCCTACAAGGGACTGTTAAAACACTCACATTCATATGAATGACTCTCTTAATGAATTCATTAAATCATTAAAAACCATACTTAATTTTACTCTACCAATACTGTTTGACCCACAACAAAGAATAATAAAATCTTTGTGCAGCAAATTATCAACATTTTTGTAGCTTGTTCCAATATTATTTTGGTACCAGCTCCAGGATTAACGTAACCACTTACTTGGAACTGATCATTAAAATAAAGTTTTATATTAAGCCTCTTAGATGACTATCACCTATCAACAGTATTTTATGTTTTGAAGATTCTGAAAGATTGCTTTTACTATTCACGAATTTAGCATGTAATTCACTAGCAGTAATTATGAAAAGAGAACACTTCCTCATTCCCAGAAGGAGAAACACATACATAATAATAGCTGGAATGTTTTTGGGTTTGGTATTATCTTCCTGAACATTCACTGGTTCATATCTATATTGATTATTCGCTTTTTTGGTGCCCCAGTACGATGCTTTATATGATGCCTAGTGTGTGCATTTCTCTGTATCACGATGAATCTTCAACTTCTTCAACGATTTAATTCCTTGCATTTCCGATGCACCATCTCCCCTACCTGATGGGTAGTAGCTATGGGAAAGTATGGTGCATATATACATTTTGCTATGTTGTTCTTTCCAATATTTCTATACCTTTTACATTTCGTCGTTAGCCATTCGTCCGACTTCACATTCACCGCTACACCAGATATAACCTCAAGTTTTGGGTTAGTGTTTTCCAACTCTTTTAACACAAGTTTATTTATTAATTGCAATGAACTTAATTCAGGAAGAGCATGGTGCAGATTGTTTCCTAATTCTAAGATATTCAGAACATTCGTGAGCATCATATACATCCTATCTATACTCGTTTAATTCAGGCCATTCATACGATTTCCAAGCAATAACCGCTATCGTCCCACACGCTTGTAATATTATGGACACTGCCTTCTGAATCGACAAAATCAAAACGATCAAAACTTTCTCGTAAGATATATGTAGCTATAAAACCTCTCTTGTACGTTCATAGCATTCACAAGCACAAATATATATCAACTTCAAAATTCCATGACTCATTTTTAAGGAAATGAAGGCGCTAGTGAATCTTTCCGGTTCGATGGTCCAGCAGCTGTTGACATTACCGCATATTACTTTCCAATACTCAGTAGAAACCGGTAGAAACGTGCGTGTTTTGTCCACAAAGAAATCGATCACATACGATCTCACACACTCCTTCGCGTGAAGTACAGATGTCAGATCGGCACAAATGCCATGTGATTATTTAAATAGGACTTTTAACAAACCATCTGCAACTGATGAAAATATATTTTCTTTTAAATTACAGCCTGTGTTAGGTGGACCAATATGAAAATTCTAATACCAAAACTGCAATTTCAATAACTTTTTAAGTAAATGTACGATAGGGTCTTAATTGGCTTACATTGTTCAAGCAATTTTCATATATTTGCATGATCTGGTACGAGACAATCTTTACGATTTTCGACCCTATTTTAAGAAGAATCGGCGCTATTCCGTAGGTAGACGTCCACTGTTCGGTTGATAAGCAGGCCGTTACGTCATGGCAAGGACGCAAGCGGTCGACGTGGCAACATCGGCTGAAACGTATTGCGTAATGACGCAAGCGGTCGACGTAGCAAGATCAGCTGATACGTATTACGTAATTGTGCCTGCTAGGTAATATCACCTGTTGGCAGTTCGTCGTGCGCCTCGAATGTGAATGCTTCGTTAGTATCTGCGTGAGATAAAGTGCTGTTGGAATACCAGAAGTTCTTGTGTCGTCAAGTTCATAGAAGTGGTGTAACTGCAGCAGTAAGTCTACAAAGTGTTCCGTTTATCGTTTTGACATTCCGGCCGCTTCAGTAAGTACGCTAATAGTGATGGCAAGAGAAGCGCGGAGACTAATGGACATTTCTTTGACTAAAATGGCGCAATCTCGCGCCCAACGTCGCGGTGTTAGCCTCCATAAAAATCTCTTGGTTTTTATGGTTCTGAAGAAGGCGCGTTGCATTTTCATGGAGGAAGCACACCACATGGTTCAGTCCCAACAGGCTGGTGCCAGTGGCGGTGGTTACACGACATCAACCAGAGCAACGACACCGCAGGATCACCAGCAGCAAGACGAATGCGAACAGAACTATGACAAGGGACTTGTAGATTTAGCACCGGAGGAGGCTGGCATTGGATCGTCACAGCATACAACACCACACTGCGAAGACGCGTCGTCCAGAGTTAAGCAAGAATTTATTCAACCTTCAGCGTCCTGTGTACCGTGTGCAGATAATATCCCGCCCTCTCTTTCATATGCAGATGACAAAGAAAATCAAACGCCACCCCCTAATCACACAAATCCCGCCTCTCCTCAGAGTGAAGTCTCTACATATTTAGCCCTGGACCAATCACCCTTTCGTGGAGACAGCGTTCTACGAGACAGATCGAATGCAACAAGTACTTCTTCGCCGAGGTCCCTTAAGAGGTGGAGTACCGTTGGGGAGTGCAAAACAGAGGAAGCAGATTTAACACCGGAGGAGGCTGCCATTAGATCATCACAACATACAACTGTTTCAACTATTCCACCCAAGCGTGTGAAGATATCGGCCGCGTGTTGTGAGGGTGACGATTCCACGACAATGGAAGTCAATCGTGTTGCAAGTCTTATGTCCATACTCAGGTTCGGCAATCTTGCAGGAAATGTGGCATCAGCAGCTGCGGACATGTCGGCGGCGACGGGAATTGGAAAGCTAACTCGTTCGCTATCCACACCAGACCTGTGTTCATCTCAAGCCAAGGAGGATGTTCGTGTTCTGCAGCAGAGGCCGTTTCGTGCAACGGTTGCGCAAAGACTGCTACATCAAAACCGAGCAGTGTTGCAAACGTAAACATATTAATCCAATGAACTTTGTGATCTTTGAATTGGAATTTAAATAGGGCGTTTGCAGCAAGCTGTGTGATACTGAACTGGGCATAGTAGTGAAAGACAGAGTTAAGCAGTTCTGTGTTTAAATTGCCAGTGCAGGATATGGCGGCGAGTTGTACACAGGGGGGTCTAACCCAGAATGTAATCATAAAATGTTTTTTTTCTCACACACACAGTATTGCCAAAATCGCTTAATGCTACTGTTACTTGGAATCAGTGTACTCCGATTATTGCAATTTGTTCAACACTTGCAACTAGCAAAATTGAAGGCTACAAATAATTATTTTCCTTTAATGGCAAACGCTGCACTCCTAAGAATTTTTGTTTTCCTGTTGCAAACAGATTGCAGGCTGTATAGTGATTGATTCACGGTGGCTATGTATTCACTTTAATCCAAATAAGTGGGGGTTTGTATTGTCATCATACTGTTGCACATTTTTATTTATTAGATGTCTGTGTATTTAGTCCATCAATAATGCAATAATCATTAAAATATTCACCAGTCAACACCAACATATGTTTCAGCCACAGACTGCCATCCTCAGGAATTTTGATGTAAAATTTGCCTAGGCTTCGAATTAAGCATATTGCTACAGAAACCAAGTACAAAATCATTAATATAAATCTGTCTTAGAGGAGTTTTATAAATATGTATAATATGGGTAAAAATACAAGGAAAGTTGCCAAAATCGCTTAATGCTACTGTTACCTGGAATCAGTGTACTCTGATTATTGCAATTTGTTCAACACTTGCAACTAGCAAAATTGAAGGCTACAAATAATTATTTTCCTTTAATGGCAAACGCTGCACTCCTAAGAATTTTTGTTTTCCTGTTGCAAACAGATTGCAGGCTGTATAGTGATTGATTCACGGTGGCTATGTATTCACCTTAATCCAAATATGCGGGAGTTTGTATTTCAGCATCCTCTTGCACATTTTTATTTATTAAATGTCTGTGTATTTAGTCCATCAATAATGCAATAATCATTAAAATATTCACCAGTCAACACCAACATATGTTTCAGCCACAGACTGTCATCCTCAGGAGTTTTGATGTAAAATCTGCCTAGGATTTGAATTAAGCACAATGCTACAGAAACCAAGTACAAAATCATTAATATAAATCTGTCTTAGGAGTTTTGTAAATATGTATAATATGGGTAAAAATACAAGGAAAGTTTCAAAAATAAAACCACGTTCTTTTAGTAATTTGTTAATTACCCAACACTTCCTACCGTTTATGTATTACAGAATGACTGTTAATTCCCTTATAAACTCCCATATTTTTGTAAGTCACAATGAAATTACTACAAATATTTTGATTCTTGGGAGGATTTCTACACATCTTCCTCTAAACTGCCTACAAGTATTTGTTACTGCATCAATTCTGCATCTCATTACAAGAGACTTCTACTGTACAAAACGAATCAAATCTGTTTCCAAGACATGTCTGCAACCAGTGCTACATGGTCAGAAGGAAACACTACACTAGGTAGAGCCACATGCTGCTGCAGTTCTTCAGTGCTGGGTAAAGGAACCACCTGTAACACATCACAGTGTTTCAAGGGACAGGTTACTTACTATCAAAATAGAAACAATACAATAAATGGGTGATTAATCAGTTTCTCAACTGGCTATGCAGAGAATATGAAACTCCTGTTACAAGAACACAGGCTGCTGAGTAATTTGCTGTACATTTCAAAGTTGTAACTTGCATCACTCAGAAGTAATAACACCTTGTGAAGTGACTGTGTGTTGTACATCTTCTAGGGATGATATGGGACAAACAGATCACAGGCTGCTTTTATTATTATTATTATTAAAATACATTTCTTTGATCCAATAGTCACCCCACAGGGCTGGATATAAAAATTGTCATATATCATGTCAAAGACAAACAGTCACATGCAGTAGAATACAGATACACATTAAATGTAATATGTAAAATCTAAAGTACAAAGTAATAATAAATCAAGCCTCTTGGAAAACAATACAAGTTGTCAGTAAATAAAACATATAAAAATATAAAATAATAAATAAGGCCTTTTGCAAAAAAGCGCAAGTTGTCAATCCAATTATAACAAATTAGAAAGGAAAATACGTAGTGAGTTCAAGTTCTAAGGTCTCCGATTTTTTTTCTCACACAATAATCATACAAAAAATTTGAAACTTCTGTCACTTTTCAACCTAATCTCCCTGCAACCATACACATTTTTCACAACGTCAATGCCATGGCCGCTGCAAACGCTTCTGTAGGAGTCTGTTTTGACCACTGGAAAATCACTGATGCAATAGCGGCACGAATGGTGAATGTGCGACCACGGAGAGCGTCTTTCATCATTGGGAAAAGCCAAAAATCGCTAGGAGCCAGGTCTGGTGAGTAGGAAGCATGAGAAACCACTTCAAGGTTGTTTTCACGAAGAAACTGCTGCATCGCATATGCCCAATGCGCTGGTGCATTGTCCTGGTGAAAGAGCACACGTGCAGCCTTTTCCGGCCGTTTTTCTTGCAGTGCTGGATGGACAAACATCTTCAAAACATCTTGGTAGGATGCACCTGTCACCGTAGTACCCTTTGGAACGCAATGCATAAGGATTACGCCATCGCTCTCCCAAAACATGGCCACCATCATTTTTCCAGCACTGGCGCTTACCCGAAATTGTTTGGTGGTGGTGAGTCTGTGCGCTTTCATTGAACTGACTGACGCTTCGTTTCAGGATTGAAAAACGGCATCCATGTCTCATCCATTGTCACAGTTGATGAAAAGAAAGTCCCATTCATGCCTTCATCACATGTCAACATCACCTGGCACCACGCAAGTGGAGAAAACGAATGATTACTCGCTGTTCTTGTAACGAAAACGTCGCCATTTTAAGTATCAAAAACACTCCTCACGCTCGCAGCCACCACTAGAGTTCTGTGTGCCGTAAAGTGCTGTCACCTCTGTCACGCATTTACAAAAAGGGCACACGTATATTAAACTAAACCACATATGTCTATCTGCTCCCAGTCCTGAGAAAAAAAATTTGAGACCTTAGAACTTGAATGCCCCTCGTATTAACTCTGTTGACAACATCAATCAACTAGAATTGATACAACTCAACTTTCCAATTAATAGTTTAAATATTAGATGTTAAAACAATTGAGAACAGCCCTCTTGACTCAGAACAAAGACAGAACCAACAATATGTTTTGACTGACTATTTACTCTGCATTTATCTTTATGCTTCTTACATGGTCAACAAATTCCTCAATGGAGTAAAAGGAATTTCTTAATAAGTATCTTTTTAAAGCAACCCTAAATTGATCTTTATCTGTTCTTAACATTGAGATACTGTCTGGTAACATGTTAAAGAACCTGACACCTGAGTAATACACACCCCTCTGATACGACAACAAACGAGAAGCAGGCATATGAAAAAGACTGTTATTCCTGGTGCCAGTCGTGTATATGGTATTATTTATCAAAAACTTGTCACAGTTTTTTACAACAAAAGTCAATAGTGACAACAAGTATACACAGGGAACTGGCAATATTCCCAGCTTCTTAAACAGATCACGACATGAGTGAGTTGGCTCAACTCCCATCATTATTCTTATTGTTTTCTTTTGCATACAAAAAACTTTAAGACAATCAGGGGTATTACCCCAATATATTATGCCATATTTCATTAAAGAATGATAATATGCATAATAAACAGATTCTAAATTATTTTTGTTTAGAATATAAGATAATTTTCGCATTTGGAATCCAACCATACTCAATTTATGAAGTAACTGATTTACATGCACCTTACAAGTCAGATGATTATCAATCTGTAAACCCAGAAATGTTGTAGCTTCAGCTGTTTTGAGTATTGTGTTAAGAAGCATAGTTGTTAGCGGATAATCAGTATGTATTGTTGGTGTAAACTTTATAATTTTTGTTTTGTCAAGGTTTAATGCATGAAGATTTGCCTGAAACCATCTACTCATATGACTACAAATATCATCTAATTTTATTTTTAAATTATTATAGTCCTTGGCTGTACAGACAATGCTTGTGTCATCTGCAAACATTATGACTTCAGAAAATTCTCTTATTTCAAGGGGAAAATCGTTGATATAAATATTAAAAAGTAGAGGTCCCAAGACTGAACCCTGTGGCACACCAGAGCGAACTAGCTCCCAGTCTGAATTATATTTGTTATTGGTATATTTTAGTTCAACCCTTTGTTTCCTATTTTGAAAGTAGGATTTAAACCATTGTAGAAATAAACCCTGGACACCATAATATTGGAGTTTGAATAACATGAGTTCGTGATCTGCATAGTCGAATGCCTTGGCTATATCACAGAATATGCCGACCGTATATTCTTTTCTGTCCCAAGCAGTTAGTATTACATTAGTTAGTTTGAAGATCGCATCTTCAGTAGATAATCCTTTTTGAAATCCAAATTGCTCTGGGAGTAATATTTTGTGCTTTGTAATATGATCATTGAGTCTTTTATAGATTACCATTTCAAATACTTTTGCAAACCCTGTTATTATTGATATTGGTCTATAATTATGTATAATGGTTTTATCTCCTTTTTTGTATATTGGTTTAATAACAGCATATTTTAATCTTTCAGGATATACTCCCATTATTAATGACTTATTAATTATATAAGCTATGGGTTTACTTAGCCGGTCACAGTAGCCGAGCGGTCTAAGGCATGCACTGTCTTCGCTCACTCAGAAGCCGGGATCGTGGGTTCGAATCCCACTCAGGGCATGGATGTTTGTGCGCATTTTTCTGTGTTTGTCTATGGGTAGAGGCCTTGTGACAAGCTGATCACTCGCCCAAGGAGTTCTACCGAATGTGTAAGATCTAGTAAACCGAAGTGAAACGGAGAGTTTCATGGATGTAGGCCTAGGCCCAAATTGGGGCTGTAGCGCCACAGAAAAAAAAAATGGGTTTACTTATTTGGTGCCTACTAAATTTAATTAATTTATTTGTTACATCATCATAACCTGAAGAGTTTTTGGATCTGAGTTTGTTAATCACACCAATTATTTCATTTTCTGAAACAAGGTTACAGTTCATCACAGGGAAACCATTTGGGAAATGTGAACACAGATATTTCATTGCTGAATGTGAATTAGTTTTCTTTATATTAAGATTTTCAGTTATTGATGACAAAATGTGTTAAAACTATGTGCTGCTTCATCCTTACTTACTTTTTCGGTATTGTGTTGGAATGATTTTGGTAAACTATCGTTATTGTTGCTATTTTTCCTTCCTGTCTCCCTATTACTAATACTCCATGTAGCTTTTATCCTATCCTTAGCTGATGCGATTAATCTGTTGTAATGTAGCCTCTTTGCTTCCCTTATTACTCTTCTTAATATACTACAATAAGTTTTGTAACATGTTTTGAAACTGTTACTTTGATTTTTACTAAGAATATACAAAAATTCTTTATGACTACAGGAGGTACATATTCCCAGTGTTATCCATGAATTATCATTATCTTTTTTACTTATATTTTTCTTAAGAAAACATGATTCATATATAAGCAGGTAAGTATTCAAAAATATATTATATGCTTCATTAACTTCATTTGATTGATAAATTTTTTCCCAATTTTCATTGCATATTTCATTTTGAAATTGTACTAATGAATCTTTGTTTACAATTCTAATCATAGTACCATGAAGCTTATGCTTGTTCAGATTACTGATATTCTTTAATATAAGATATTGGGCATCATGATCAGACAGACCGTTGGTAATCAGGAGTACATCATAAGAGTTTTTCCTTTTATTATCAATAAAAATATTATCAATTAGGGAGCTATTGTTCTGAGTAATTCTGGTTGGTAGCTGGACAGTATTAAAAACATTAAATGAGTACAACAGTAAGAGGAGCTGAGTCTTATGGACAGACTCGTTTAAAAAATTTACATTAAAATCTCCAGTTATTATAAATTCCGTTTTTGTTTTATGTAGGAAATTAAGTACTTTTTCCAGTTTCTTCATAAAATAATCAAAATTGCCACTAGGTGACCTGTATACACATAAAACTAGTATGTTTTGTTTTTCAATACTGATCATAGGCACACAGATTTCTATATTCTTTTCATTACAGTACTGTGTTAGATCAATAGGAGTAAATTTTATGGCTGGTTTAATATAAATACACACACCTCCCCCTAGATGTCTCGAGCGAGCAAAACTTGCTCCTAAGACACAGTTCGACAGTTTATTAGAGGATAATTTAGTATCTGTCATATAATGCTCAGAGAGACATATTAAGTGAGGACTAATATTTCTAGCTACCATTTTTACATGTAAATTCATCAGTTTTATTGGCAAGACCTCTAATATTTTGGTGAATAATGATTAGTGATTCTTTAGTTTGCTTAGATACATTAGATTTAGACTTATTTGCATCAGACTCTATTCCCATAAAAATCCTCATTTTTAGTTGGTGGTCTTCTTTTCCTTTTGATACAGTGAAGAGGTTCCTGGTCAGGCATTGGACCTTGATGATCCTTACAGTTGTTAGTTTCCCCTTGGTTTCTGTTTTTTGCATCTGAGTTGAGTGTACCATTTCTTGAGATTACTTTAGTAGTATGCCCTGATTCTATTGTTAGCTTTGTATGGACAGGTAATGTTGTTTCCCATTTCAGTGGGATAACCATAGTTCTTCACTTCTGCTCGACTATTTCTTGTATTACACTAGATATTCTTGCTGCCATTTCTATGTTACCTTTCTTATTGTAATGAAATCCATGTCTAGTATAGAGTTCTCTGTCCATTTTGGCATTTACTAAGGTTACCTTATTTAGACTATTTACCAGTTCAGTTAATCTTCTGTTGAACCTCCTTATCTCCTCATTTACGCACGAATTAAGATTAAAGTCATGCCTATGGGGTACTGTAATTACTATGGTGTTGGTAAAATGGTTACTTCTCAGATACTTGATTTCCTGGTTTAATCCACTTCCAGCATTGTTTTTTGATATATCATTTGCTCCGCCACAATAAATTAGGATATCCTTCTGCGTTAATTTATGTACTTCCTGTGTAGCAGTAGATGTCAGCTGATTAATATTTGCATTAGGTTTTACTATTCCCATGATCTCATAGTTAACACCCAGTTTGTGTCTCAGCTCACTGGAAAGTCCCCTGACATGACTATCACCAATAATCAAAATTTTACATTTTTCTGATAACTTAGTTGATTTGTTTCTCTCATTATTTTTGACTTTATGTAGTCGATTATATAATATACTATTTCTAGATATTAGTGGGGTCTGGACATTTACTTCCTCACGTGGTATTGCCATTGAGGTTACGATGGTTGGAATAGTTGATATTACTTCATCATTAGTGTCTTCATTTATTCTGGTGCATCTAAGAGCTTCCGAGTAAGTTTTTTTGGGTAACACTTCACTATTGCTGGAGGGGGTCTGTTTAAGAGTTATTTTACTTTCTTCTAGATTTAAGATGATTTCCAATAGGGTTCGTTTGACCACAGGATGATCGGCCATGTAGTAAAACTCGTGTAGTTCTCTTCTATTCAATAATACTTCCAAATCTTGCTGTTCATTATGAGAAGCACTCGAGATAATTAAGGCACTATTTTGAACTAAAGGATCAGCGATGTTGCTTGAACACGCTTCTTTAAGGATAGCAGAAATTTCGTCAATTTTTGCCGTCTTCTTATTTAATTCTTCATGTAATATTTTTATTATTTTTTCAAGCGATAGTATTTCAGTCTTTGCCTGAAGTACTTCAATACTTAATTCCTCACAACTTATACATTTCACTTCTTGTGTTGCACTTCCATTATTAAGAAATAGAGGGATACAGCTATCTGGTTGACCCATACAATCCGCCATATTGCACTTATATCGTAGTTGGTGAGTTTGTAATTTCTATTTAGGCTTCATATGCTTTCGTTCTTGATATTATGGCATCCTCGTTTTATTGACTATATTCAGCGAAATAACACGAAAAATATCACTATTATGACTTATTATTGCGTGTTACTCGAGAAGAGTTAATCTCTAAGCCAATGCTCTAATTATTATGGATTATGATCAAACCTAGAATTTTCAGAATATAAAGCAGAAGTGTTGACCACTCACCTTTAATGTGCAGTATAAAATGATGTTCATTGCATATTTTACCCTATCGACACTATGACTTGAATATTCTAAACATGAATAAACCAAAGCAGATCACTTCACTTGGAATGTTCTGGTCCATAACTTCTGCATTTTGACATCTATATCTTCTGAAAATGGTAAATATTACTGGCTTGTTTGGACCAACTACCTCAATGATTACATGTTCCAAAATGGTGGTCATTTTACCATTCCAGATGAGTTGTATAATGACTCAGCTAACTTAACTGTCAGAATTTAAATCATACAACCTGTCTTCTAATGTTTCTTTTATGGAGTTATAAATAGCTTACTTCAAATAACCAATCTAGAGTGCATCGAACTCACCTGGGCAACATCCAACTGATCATGCTGATAGAAGATATAATCAAGGCAACCAACGAATCCCTCTGTGAAGTTTGTGGATTCTGTTTTCCCATAGGCACTGGCTAGGAGGAGTGAATGTGATAATGAAACATCTTTGACTTCTTCATCTTTATCTAAAAGAAAACAAAATGCTGTATATGATTATTTGTGACATCACTTTCACTGGGTGTGCACTGTAAGAGCACACTCGTGCATGTGGATGGTCTACTGCTGTGTTGTATTCAGATTATAAACTTAACTCGACTTACTACTTGTCCAATCAATACAGTCCTCAGGTATATGCTGTGTTGTTATCAGCCTGTACACACCCCAGTCAGGTGTGCTATTGAAGTCACCACAAAACATACAAGACACCCTTCCACCTTGCTTCTGAAAAATGGTAATCCAAAATATCACTTGCCATTTTGTTTCTTTATTACAATTAACACTACAGTATAGAAAAAATGAAAGAGCCAGGATAGTTCAGTTGGTATAACAGCAGCTATGGGCTGGTTTGTGAGAGTTTGATTCCTGGCAGCGGCAAGAGAGTTTTCTCTAATCTACAATGTCCAGACTGGATCTGGGGCCCACCCAGCCTCTTAACACAATCAGTACAGGGTCCTCTATCCCTGTGGTGTAAAGTGGCAAGGGTGTGAAGCTGACCACTCACGTCCATCTAGTGCCAAGGTCAAGAGTGGTGACACTATACCTCCACTCTGTGAATGTCTTCATGGTGTTATGCTTAACGAATTAATCAAGCACAGAGACAACTTTACCACTTACTGAGTAAAAGAAACAAAAATATTTGAACTAAAGTAACATAGCACTAACCACTCACTTAATACAACATGAGTTCCAGGGTCATGATTATGGAATGAGTAGGACAACCAATTTCATAGAGCAAGGTCCTTCACAAGCTAATACTCCACTCATCCACATAATCACCATATGTGGTCTAACAACAAAGTTTGCGAACTCATCACAATAAAAGTGCTACATACCCCATTGGTGAATATCACTATAGTCACTTTCAAAGTATTCCCCTTGGGAAGCTATGAACATATGTCAATGCCTACTCCACCCCTGAAAACAATTTTGTAACTGGTTTTGTGGAATGGCCTTCAGGGCTGCCATCATATTACTCCTGAAGTCATCAATATCATCAAAATGCCTTCCTTTCAATATTTCCTTTATCTTCAGGAACAGAAAAAAGTCACTGGGGGCTAGATCCAGTGAACAGGGAGGGTGTTCAGGCTGTGATTTGTTCAATAGCTAAGAACTCCCTCACAGACAGTGCCATGTGAGTAGGTCCTTTGGGACTACTTTTGCACACACCTTCCTCATGTCAAGATCTGCAGTTAAGATTTTCCTAACTGTTTCTCTGTAAATGTTCACTTGCTCTGCTATGCTCTTGATAGTCAGCCGATGATTTTCACGCACAATTTGACAAACTTTTGCAATGTTTTCTTCAGTTCTGCTCGTTGCTAGTCATCCTGAGTTCTCTTCATCAGTGACATTTTCTCTTCACTCAGAAAAACGTGACACCCACTTGTAAACTGCTGTCTTCTTCATAGCATTATCCCTGTAAACTTGCACTAACATCTCTATGATTTTGCTTCCACTCTTGCCAAGTTTAACAGGAAATGTAATGTTCGTTCCAACACTCCTGCGATGGCACACCAAAACACACGCAGACCATAATAGATGCCACTCAGAAATAAACTGCCATAGATCAAATGCTGATATGCCAACGTCATCAGCCTATACTGAGGGTTCTGCCCACTGCTACAATGGCAAGCATATGGTGGCGAGTTTGCAAACTTTATTGTCAGATTTTGTATTCGAAAGAATCTGCCACTGCTCTGTACCCTGACCTACATGATTAACAGTTTAAATGCTCCCAACCTATTTCTTTATGGTATATTTTAATCTTAGCCCTCCATCTATGTGCGTTCCAAATGTTCTCTTCCCTTCTGATTTTCCAACCAAAATACCGCATGCATCTGTAATCTGTCCCATGCATGTTACATGATTCTCTGATTTGATCATCTTAATATCAACTGAAGAATAAAAATTATGCAGTTTCTCAGCAACGTTCTCTAGTCTCTTGACAGTTCCTCCTTCTTAGGTCAATATACTTTTCTCAGCACCATGTTCTATCGCCCAAATATGAGGAGCTAAGTTTCACATTATGCAGAACAACTGCAAAAGTTTTGGATAGTGGATTAAATTGAAAAGAACTGGCACAAGTAGTTTTATTCCAACTAACAAAACTGTTATTTATTTATTACATCTATGGGGCATGCAGTAGCATAGTTAGTTGAGGCACTATGCTACAAGATGGAAGGTCATGGGTTTGAATCCTGATGAGGTCACTGGATTTTTCAACTGACCTAACACTTCCAGATGCACTATGGCCCTGGGGTTGACCCAGCCTCTACCAGAAATCAATACCATGAATCTTCCTGGAGGGTAAAGGGTGGCTGGCACATAACCAGCAGTCCAAATCATTCAAACTCTTCATGCACCATTAGCTAATAATTTAAAATTCTTATTATGCTGGAATATTTCCACTGGTTATCATGCATTCAAAGGTTAATATAAAATGCTGTATCAGTTGTAGAGGTTAACATATACACCACCAAATAATGGCTGAAAAACATCTTTAATGGTACATATGTAAAGATTTGCAGGAAGGCATTTGCCTGAAGAGATGGTGGAAAAACGTGAAACATCTCATCAAGCATACATAGTAACCTGGCTGAGATGTGAGTTAAATGTGATACCATTATGCTAAGCAGCTTGGATTTATATCAAATTACTGATAAGTACAAAGAGATTTGGAGGCGATTATAGGATTCACCTGAACACATTGATGCAGATCATATAAAACCTAAAAGTTGTCCCTGTGCTTAACTAGTTAAGCACTACACCATGAAGGTGTATGGGGGAGTGGGTGTACAGATCCACATTTTCTTGACCTTGGCACTAGTTGGAGGTGAGTGGTCAGCTTCAATACTCGGCTGCTTTACCCCCGTGGAAAAAGGCCCATTACCCAATGGATAGGAGGTTGGGTGGACCCCAGAGCAAGTTTGGATGACGTGGAGGAGAGAAAATTCTTGACCCTACTGGGACTTGAACTCCAACTTCTTGGTCGTCCAGCCTGTAGCTAGTTGCTATACTGACTACACTATGCTGGCTCACTCACATGAAACCTAAGTAATATAAATTATAAAAGCACTACACATGACACTGAAATGTCATTAACAGTTGTTATTTGCAGCAGACAGGAACCCTTCACCACAATTTTACAGAAATCAATGTATATTCTGAGCAAAACTGGATGGCACTTGGATGCACATGGAATGGAAGGAAGTTAGGTTGGTATACTGTCACAGATACAAGCAACTACTTTTTGTCTTCCCAAGACGGCTGTCTGATCTGACCAACCACTGTGATAGTGGTTCCGTTATGCCATTCTGTTTTATGCTGCTTATCATTATTCATGGTGATGATATGCTGCTACTGAGGATGAAAAACATTAACAGATTTGAGAACTTCAGGTCAAGGCAGGAAGTGTATAAGACTGACCTCTGCAGCTGCCTCTGCCACAAGATGCTCTAAGTAAATCAGAGTGATGCCACTTTGTAAGAGTCGAATGTGATCTGCATCAGGATGGAAATACTGGTGTGTGTTAGCAACCACAATCCTCTCATTTGAATCATCCACACTGTCAAACACCACAAACTGAAATCATTGACAATAAGTTGTGTAAGTAACAAGTTAAATATCATAATCTGCTAAACATAAAATAAAAACAACTTTCATCTAAACCAATGCAACTTGTTTGTATGACATCTATCCCAACACACAATTTCAGTATTTACAAGATTTCGGTTAATACAAAGAACCTCAAGCCAGGGTAGCACAGTCAGCATAGTGACTGCCTACAAGCTGGATGACCATAGGGTAGGAGTTTGAGCCCCAGTAGGGACAGAATTTTCTTTTCTCCATATTGTCCAGACTGGCTCTGGGGCCTAACCAGCCTCCTATCCAATAGGTGCTGGGGGCTCTTTCCTCAGGGGTAAAGTGTCAGGGGCATGAAGCTGCCGACTCACCTCCAGCTAGTGCCGAGGTCAAGAAAATGTGAATCTATATATCCACTCACCCATACACCTTCATGGCATAGTGCTTAATTAATTAAACACAGGGACAACTTTACCTTTACCTTCATACAAAGAACCTTACAATTAGAGTCTTCTGTGATGTGATGCCATGTAGTCTGGTAGACAGATACCAAAATTTTGGAAAACTTACAACCTTAATATTTCTTTGAAACACTAGTATCTACCTACAGACTACATGATGTCACATCCCAGAAGATTGTAATCTTAATTTTCACTGTCATGAAAACCTCACTCTCACAAAGAACCCTAAGATTTTAAGAGATAAGACACTCACATTTCCCCCTTTGGAAACAGAAGCATACAAACACAAATATATTCATCTTCCTTGAATTCACTTTCACTCCTTGTCTCAGGATTCATCTCCATGTTAATCCTGATCAATCATTCTCTTTCAACATGGAAGGAGAACAAGTACAATGCACAGCCCCACCTAACAAACAAGTAACAAAAGTGGAAAGGCATTTTCACTTTACTGTCATCTAGGATGTGCCATCAAGTAGTTCGGTAGATACATACCAACTTATCAGAACTTACTGCATCTATCTTCGTCTCTTAGGCCGCGCCATAGCTCAAGCGGTTAGTTGCTGGCTTCCCACCGCGGCAGCCCAGGTTCGATCCTGGGTCTGGTCAAGTGGGATTTGTGGTGGACAAAGTGGCACTGGGGTTGGTTTTCTCCGAGTACTTCGGTTTCCCCTGCCAATCTTCATTCCACCAAAGTCTCCATCATCATAATCACCCGGGGCAGGTACAATAGGCCAATCAGTGGCCACCGTGCCGAGTGGACCCAGTCGGACTCCATCCCCCACTAAGCATATTAAAAAAAAATTTAATTTTAATCTTCACCTCTTCCACCCTGAAGGCTGAGGTAGTGGGTTCCTCTTAAACACTGGTACCTACCGACCAAAGTATCCAGCATCATATTCCATAATTCCATAATCATAATATTCACCATGATGAAAGCCTCAAATTTGGAAAGGTGTACTCAGGTAGAGCAACTATGACTTCCACATGTGTTCTTTGTAACTCTGCATGTCACATTTATTCTCATATTCATCATTTTGCAGGTACAAATATGTTAACTGCAAAACTAATAACACTCCAAACAACCACAAATTATTTCCCTTTGTTTTTCATTATACTGAAAAATATTTCAAACAAAAGTTCAAGTTCTTCCTGAGATATGTATAATGTTGTATTTTGGCGTCCTGTTGCACTGATTCGTATCCATAATGTGTATATATTAACCGTCTTTTAGTGCATACAATTTCACTTGTCACTTCACACTACATGTTTCAAGCATCATTCTGCTATCCTCAGGTGTATTAATCACGTTAAACCATTGCACTGCCTATCATCAAGTATCCATTTATAAAATGACATAAAATGTGTGTTCGTCATTGTTCAATAATCATCATCATCACTGAAACACAGCCCTTTGTGAGCCCTGGCCTTCCTCAGGATTGTTCGCCATTCTTCTCCATTCAATTCTACATTCCTCCAGTTCTTTACACCCACAATTCTTATGTCCTGCCAAACACATTCTTCCCATCTTAATCTTGGTCTTCCCACTCTCCTATTTCCTTCTGGTTTAGTATTAAGCATTTTCTTAATCACTCTATTCTCGCTGGCACATATTATGTGTCCAGCCCATTTAAGCCTTTTCACCTTTATAAATTCAACAATGTCTGGTTCATTAAATGTTTGTATAGCTCATGGTTATACCTCTTCCTCCATATTCCATTTTCTTCCACTGGTCCAAAGATATATCTCAAGATCCTCCTTTCAAATATACTTAACAGTCTTTCATCCGATCTTGACAGTGGCCAGGTCTCAGAGGCATAAGATAGCACTGATCTTATAAGTACTTTATACATCATAGTTTTGGTTTTCCTGGGTATTAATTGGAATTTCAGGTGTTTCATAAGGCCATGGAGACATTTATTTGCTGCAAGTACACGCTTTTTTATTTCATCACTGATATCATTTTTACTGTTAACTTCTGATCCAAAGTAAGTGAAACTACATACAACCTCAAATTTATATGAGAAAATTTCAATATATGTAGGTCCATTAGCACAGTCTTTGTTGGTTACCAGCATGTACTTTGTTTTATTTTTGTTAATTTGTAGATTCATCTTCTTTGCTGCTCTTTCCAAATTAAGAAAAGCTTCTTTCATAGGTTTTTGTGTTCTACCAATATATCAATATCATCTGCAAATGCCAAAATTTGAACTGACTTATAGAATATAGTTCCCCTTGTGTTGATGCCTGCAGCTCTAACTACCTTCTCTAATACTATAGTGAACAAAAGGCAGGCTAGGGAATCCCCTTGTCGAATTCCATTTCTAGTTATTATAGGGCTAGACAACATATTCTGAATCTTAATTTGGCATTGGGTCTTTCTCATAGTGGCTCTGACTAAGGCGATTAACTTCCATGGAATATGCAGCTCTTCCATTGGCAGAAAAAGACTATCTCTATCTATGGAGTCATAGGATGATCGGAAGTCAACGATAAGATGATGTGTTTCAATTTGGAATTCATTACACTTTTCAAGGACCTGGCAAATAGTGCAAATCTGATCATTAGTTGATCTTCCTTGACGAAACCCACATTGGTAATCCCCAGTTATGCCTTCCACAAAGGGAGAGAGTCTGTTAAATAGAATGTTGGAAAATATTTTATATGCTATGCACAACAGACTAATTCCTCTATAATTAGAGCATACCATAACATCGCCTTTCTTATGGATAGGGCATACAATACTTAGGTTCCATTCCTCTGGGATTATTTCAGTTATCCATATCTTAACTATTAGCTGATGTAAGTGCTTGGCATATTCTGGGCCTGCAAATTTCACTAATTCTGCTGTGATGAGATCCATTCCTGGAGCTTTATTATTTTTCAATTTTTTGATATCTTGTTCTACTTCTTTTATGGTCGGCGCTGACTCTTCAGCCTCAAAAATTCCTTGATTCCAGTCTATGGTCATACCTTCCACTTGTTCAGAGGCATTACCATTTAATAATTCCTCAAAATATTGCACCCATCTTTCCAGTATTGCTTCATCACTACTCAATATTGTGCCTTCTTTATCTCTACATGACGTTGTTCGAGGTTGAAAATCCTTTCGACTCTTGTTTAGTTTTTGATAAAACGCTCTAATTTTGTTTGAACTTCTTAAATGCTCCAGTTCAATCAGTTCTTGTTTATCATATTCCCTTTTCTTCTTTTTATGCAATCTTTTTTTTTCTTCTCACTTCATGGCATTCTTCCATGGCCCCTCGAGTATGGTTCCTTTGCTGCATTTTCTTATATGCCTGTTTCTTTTTATTTGTCACTTGCTCACACTCTCCATCAAACCAATTCTTATACTTTATCCTTTCCACTTTTCCTAAAACTGCACCAGCAGTGTTTATAATAACATCTCTGAGGCCCCTCCAAGCTTCACTGACATCCTCACTATCAGAGAGACCTGCCAGGCATTCACCAATTAATCCAGTATGTCTGGTTGCAACTCCTTGTTCCACCAATTTTTCACAATTCAATTTCTTAGCCTGGGATCCATGTATCTTCCTTGCATTAGATATTCGACTTCTAATCTCTGATATTATTAAGTAATCATCAGAGTCATTGTTGGCCCCCCTGTAACTCCTGACATCCATCAAGTCTGAACAATGTCTTACAACTCTTAGGATGTGATCAATTTGATTAAACACATTTCCATCAGGGGACTTCCAGGTTTGTTTATGTATATCCTTATGATTAAACACTGTACTACCTATTACCATGTTTCTTGAGGAAGCAAAATTTATTAATCTCATCCCATTATCATTTGACTTGTTATGTAGGCTATGTTTTCCAATAACTGATCTATATACATCCTCATTCCCCACTTTGGCATTCATGTCCCCTATGATTATTTTACAATCCCTTTTTGGACATTCACCATATATCTCATCCAATTCATCATAAAAGGAGTCTTTCTCCTCATCACTTTTATCTTCAGTTGGGGCATGTGCACAAATAAGGCTATAGTTAAAAAACTTTCCCTTAATTTGTAGCCTACATGTTCTGTGAGATTTTGCCTGGAAGTCTAAAATAAGATGCTTCCTTTTTTTATTAACAATAAAATCTGATCCAAACATGTGACTCTTCTTCTGACAACTATAGAATACAACATGATCACTCTTTTCCATGACTCCCTTACCCAACCACCCCAGTTCTTGTATAGCAGTGATATCTAGTTTATAGCTATCTAGTTGTTCAAGTAGCATTTTTAGTGCTCTGGCTCTGTAAAGAGATAATACATTCCAAGATCCAATTCTCAAATCCTTTAAACATTTTCCATGTCGTCTTGAATAGGTCGGTCCAGCTACTCTTTCCTCGGATTTCCGAACAATTTAGTTTTTACGGTGTGAGGTCATTAGCCTCACACCTAACCACAAACCTGGAGGACCAGGGTATCCCTCTCTGTGTGGCTCCTACCCCTTGACCTGTCTGGCATGGGTGGCCCTACCAGTAGCTATGCTACCCACTGGCATAGCCCTCAGGGTCTCAGGAGCTATCAAACCCCACCACCACGATAAGGTGGAGATACCATTGGTGGGGTGTTCAATAACAAAATTTTAAAATTTATATATTAAAATTTGCCAAGATCCATCATCTTACATGTCGCATATCAAACTTGTGTGTAATGCCATTCATCCGCTATGGGAGTCGTTCTTCTTATGTTTTAATTCTGTATATACTGTGTCTTATGATGTGTCTTTCTTATGTGGCTGCGTGTGTTATATTGCTGGACGTATATACGTGTGACACACATGAGATATAAACCACATAAGAAAGACACATCATAAGACACAGTATATACACAATTAAAACATAAGAAGAACGACTCCCATAGCGGATGAATGGCATTACACACGAGTTTGATATGCGACATGTAAGATGATGGATTTTGACAAGTTTTAATACATAAATTTTTATTATTGAACAACAACAAACACACATTTTGTCATTTTATAAATGGACACTTGATGGCAGGCAGTGCAATGGTTTAACATGATTAATACACCTGAGGATGGCAGAATGATGCCGAAACATGTAGTGTGAAGTGACAAGTGAAATTGTATGCACTAAAAGACGGTTACTATATACACATTATGGAGATATGTATATTGATGTCCTAAGCACAAAATCATTTTTAATAAACTGATGTATGATCAGGGTACCACATATCAACACTTCTTCAATCTTCTTTCACAGGTTCAGGTCTCTCATGCAAAACGGATCATGGGTTTGATTGATGACACAGCAGTGCCATGACTTAAGCCCAGTCAGTAAAATATTTTTATTGTTTACATGGCACAGACAGGCCCAATAAAGGCTATACAGTATAATGGAAAAATATAAAGATACGAATTATGTTGAAATAACTCACCACTGCTTTGGAATGAACATTTATTATTCTCTCATAGGTATATCTGAGTTCACCAATTATATACGCAAAATATAAACATCCAGTTTTGTTAAACTTACTCACCAACACTATTCACCTGTGTAAGTAATTTTACAGAACAGACTCCTTCTTGAGAAACTAACAGTCACTCAGCTAGTCAATCTATTTGCTTTTTATGGAACTAACAGCCTGTATAACTTGCAACTATAAAACATTAATTTCACATTTCTAGGCCCACGTTATGTTGTACTTCTAAGTTTTAAAATTAAATAAGCTTATTCAGTTTCCCCAGTTTAGGAGACAATTTTCCTCATTATAATTTTCATACACCCACTTTTATTACTGTTCTGACTTGTGGTCCTTGCAATCATCCATGTTATCTTCTCATAAATCCTTTCTTTCTGAGACTTCTGTATCCAGCCACTCCCAGCTTGCTGATTCTGTTACAGCTTCAACAGGGCCCTATTGGCCATTCCTGCTGGGTCTTCTCAGCTTCTGCAGCAGTACTGTGCATCATCCTGATGTTATCCTCTCTTGTAGCATGGATGCTGGGAAAAGACTCTGGGACAGTAATCTTTCAAACAGGACTACAGTAAGTTTTAAATGATCACATTAGCCATTTACCTGAGAACAGGTTGTCCTCTCCAGGATTCGATTTGCAAGAGCTTCATTTTCTTTCACTTTATTCCAGAGGTCAGCAAATAATGGGTTTGATTTTAGTTCTTCAGCTAGATGAACACCATGTGATGACACACATCTATAATTTAAAAAAAAAAGTATTTATTAAAGGCTGCGCTAACTTTGTACAAAAAGGTTAAAAATTGTCTTACAAATTACATAAACGTTTTCACAACTTTTGCTCCCAGTATAAACTACAATTCTAGTATTAATAGATTTAAACAGCATATTAAAAATATACAAGGGTTGGAACTTTAATAGTGGCAACTATTTATTTACAACTGATACAAAATAGATGCATGTTTTGAAGTTTTACTGTCCTTCAGTGTAGTCACCAGCATTGTTACAACCCGTTGCCAGTGATGTGGAAGTCATAGGATACCTTTAGCAGTGCCTGTTGTGTTGATAGTTCGAATGGAGCAGTCTACTGCCTGAAGAATCTCTGGAACAGTTCTGAAGCGAATGCCACAAAGTGATTCTTTCATCTTAAGAATCAAGTCACAGGCACAAAGGCTTAAGTCCAGGGAGTATGGTGGATGGTACACCACTTCCCAGCCCCATCAATTGAACAAATCAGTCACAGCTTGCGCTGCATGCGGCCGAGCATTGTCCTGCAAAATGATGGGTGGGTTCTGCAGAAAGTGTCGCCGCTTCTTTCTCAAAGCTGGTCGCAGGTTGTGTTCCAAAAATGAACAGTAATGATTTTTGATTGTTAGTAATACTACGCACTGATGGTCTGCTGTCGGGGAACGGTATGTGTTAGGATAATACCATCACAGTTGTACACGAGAATCACCATAAATTTCACATTGCTGGGGTTCTGACGAACTTTGGACTTTCGTGGTGACCCGTAATGACATCATTCGTTTGACTGGCGTTTCATTTTTGGCTCATACGACTTGGCCCATGTCTCATCCAGTATAATGATACGGCACAAGAAAGCCTCTCCTTCACGCTCATAGCGCTCCAAGTGGTTACGAGCAACATCATATCGTAGCCATTTCTGCATTTCCGTCAAATCATGTGGAACCCATCATGATGCAATTTCTTTCATGCTCAGATGTTCCTTCAGAATGTGAAGCACAGTCAATATGCGCTAATCCTGTCTCCCGGGCCAGCTCACAAATCATATGGCGTTGATCACTCTCCAGTAACGTGGAAAGAGCATACACTTCTTCTTCACTGACACTAGGACGACTTGGCCGACACATGTCTGCCACATTTTGGTATCCCTCGTTGAAGGCTTTTACCCACCTTGCCACTGTTCTGTAAGGCCATGCAGATCCCCCACAAGCTTCTTGAAGACCTTGATGAAACTGTCGTGCTGTACGGCCTCTGGCGCATTCAATCTTTATCCAACTCCGTTGTTCCTGTTTTGAAAACATCGTGACAACACCACATTAGACTGCCAGCTAACACGAGGTTCTGTTCTTCTCGTCACTGCGCATGCGCGTGATCTGGGAAGGGAGAGTCCATTTGCTCTGAGGTAAGGTAGGTATGTAACTAACTTGTGGTATAAGCGACATTATTTGGTTCCATTGCATTGTCTCTCTACAGCAGTGTTGCCATTATTAAAGTTCCAACCCTCATAATTTAATTATAAAAATAAATCCTGTCATTTTCCCTCAAAGTGTTATAGATTGGAGTTTCACCACATCCTACTACAAACATAATCCATTGTGAGACACACTTAAATTAAACAGAAAATTCTAAGAAGTGCAATAGTGACTACATAAGGCAAACCATATTGTGGTATATTTGCTCAAAGCAAGAACTGTGGAGGCACAGAAACAGCCATTTCTAGGTAATGGTTGTGTAACCCGCAACAATGGAGTGGCTGGTGAAAGCAGTAATTTCTGTGTGGGCCGTGCTGAGGCTATATAATGAGGACCAGCTGCCATTACAGGGGAGTCTTGAGATGGCAGTCAGAAGAGGTGGAGGTTGGTCTGAGATGACCACCAGCCTGTAAGGACGTGAGCCCAGGAGCAGGGGAAAATCCACTGGTGAAGACACAGCTGACTGAGAGGACTTAGTACGTGCTGCAGTGAACTGCAGAGCGTGTGTGAATTAGCAACAGAGCTAGTTACTTGTAGTTAGGATCTCAATTAATTAAATAATTTTCCTGGGGAGTAAAGCGCGGCCAGTGTCTAAGGCTGACAACCTTACCACCATCTTTGAGCCAACTGTCTAGATAATGTGGGACCCTCGTCTCACAATCTTATGGGCCTTCACGGCCTGTTATAGGGATAGCTTTACTTTACTTTTTTTGATCTGTAAGTGTTCAATAAATCCAATTATCAATCTAAACTCCATTTACAGTCATTCTATCACATGATAACGTTCACTTCATATTGATATTAACTGAATTTGAATAGTTCCTACAGCTTCCTTATGTTTCTTTTAAAAAAGGAAAAGCAAACAAACAAAATTCTAAAAGGTTCTGATGATGGTATACTTAGGATAACCAGATTTCTGGGTTCTGTCCATTGTCTATTGCTCTGAACAGAATATATCATCTCAAAAATGGGGTGTGTTTGCATCCTTGAGTGAAAAGGTTGGCAAAACCTGATACTAGGTGCTTATACATATGTGTAGGTTTAAGTGACTCAATCAGGCTATCCTGTGACTGAGTTTAGCTCACTGAAATACATAAAAAGATCCAGTTTCCAAAATATTTTGTTCTGTTTGGAATACTAGTTGATGGGCAAAGTCCGGAAATAAAGCAATCATAAATACATTCACTATTCTGCAGAAATAAGTGCTTGATAAAAAAATGGGATTCATGGAAAAGTACATTTTTGACTTTCTGTAAAACAGAATTTATAATTAATCAATATGGCTGAAAATCAGAACGTTTTGACAACTTTTAATAAGAATCTCCCATGCAAAATTTGAAGAAAATCTATCCAACAATACTGTCACTGACACTAGGTCACAGAGAGATGACTTCCACTTTTCAATCTGTAAAGAACATCTATAAAGCAATATCTGGCCTGGCTACAGCCAAGTAAGTTCAATTCTGTTATTTTTTGTTCATTTCTTGTACCAACAGTATTCAGATCATTCTGCACAACTGTAACTGAAAATACTAAAATCTGGAAAAGGTACAAAGACTAGACCCTCTCTGCTTTCCACAGATCACAGTAAAAATAACTTACCTAAATCTTGATTCACGAAATATGCATGCTAAACCTTCTGAAACAGCCCCACCCTTCTTGTGGAATACTCCATTAAATCCTACAGATGACAGAGTGGGAATTAAATCATTTGTAAACACCTTGGAATCTACTTCCTGTAGGCAAATTATATCAGCATTATAACCTGAAAAGGAAAATTAATATCCTATTAGCTAATTTTTGAGAAGCATGTAACAGGTCTGATTTTATAATACATGAAGTTGCTGAAATTAAATGGGACACATGAGCTGTTGGCCTATGATGATGATGTGAATCTACTGGGTGATAATATAGATACCATACAGAGAAACACACAAACTTAATTGACGCTAGTAAGGAAGTTGGTCTAGAAGTAAACAGAGAGAAAGCTAAGTATATGTTGCTGTAGCAGCATCAAACTGCAGGGTAAAATCATGACATAAAGATAGGTAACAGATGTTTTCAAAATGTGGCACAGTTCAGATATTTAGGAGCGATGATAACAAATCAAAATCTCATTCAGGAGGAAATAATGAGGAGACTAAACTCGGGTAATATGTAGGTAATACCGAAAATCATGAGCAACTTTTTTTTGCATGCAACCTGGGAACAGCAGACAAAAGAGAGTACAGTGGTAGGTGGAACCAGCTGTTGTGTTAAGCTTGAGTGTCTTGTGAGGTCAATAGCTTACATCACAGGACCAGTATCACTCCTAACAAAATGGCCGACAATGATACATCGTTTCGCCAGTGTGCTGTCATCGAATTTCTTGTGAAAGAGGAAATCCCTGCTGCAGAAATTTACCAGAATTAAGCGTGTTTATGGAAGTGTGTGCATGGGTGTGAGCAGTGTTCAAAAATGGGTGAAACATTCTAAAGATGGGAACACCAGCATCGAAGATGAGCCTCGGAGTGGTCGTCCTCGAACAGCTTCAACTGAACGCAATAAGGAAAGAGTGGATGAGATCATTCAAGATGACAGGAGTGTGACTGTGAACACAATAGCCCGAAAACTTGGAATAGGGCACAGTGTAGTACAGGAGATGATTGAAAGTTTGGGCTATAGGAAAGTTCGTGCTCGTTGGGTCCCGCGGTTATTGACCGAAGACCACAAAGGTCAGCGAAAAGCCAACACATCAGAACTGCTGCAGAGATTTCAACACAAAGACGATGATTTTTGCTCTGTATTGTGACAGGTGACGAAAGCTGGTTTCACAATTTCGAGCCTGAAACCAAACGGCAGAGTATGGAATGGCACCATTTGCATTCTCCATCAAAAAAGGAGGCAAAGACAGTGCCATCAGCTGCGAAGGTGATGGGCACAGTCTTCTGGGATGCAGAGGAGTTTATTCTGGCCGAATTCCTGGAACCTGGGCAAACCATCAATGCTGCTCGCTATGTCCAGACGCTGCACAAGCTTCGTCGTGCATTGCGCGATAAACGCTGGGATGAAAAAATCATCATTCTGCATGACAACGCTCACCCCCACGCCGCTCACCTCACATTGGAAGCAACTGCAAAGATGGAGTGGGAAGTTCTTCCATACCCTTCCTATAGCCCTGATCTGGCACCCCCCGACTACCATCTTGTTGGATTTGTGAAGGATCAGCTGCGTGGACAACGTTTTGAGACAAGAGAGGCAATTCAGATAGGAGTGCGTCAGTGTCTTCAGATGGCTGGAACGGAATTTACAGAAGGGCAGTTTTCAAACTCCCACAACGCTGGGAGAAATGTGTACAAAGAAGTGGTGATTATGTGGAAAAATAAAGAAAGGTCTGTAGATTGAGGTGGTGTATTTGGTTTGTCAATAATAAAGCATGTTACTTTACAAAATATTGTTGCTCATGACTTTCAGTACGACCCTCGTACTTGCTACCATTCAGCCCAGAACCTTTTGTCTTCTTGTCTCCTGTCCAGAAACTTAAAAATCAGAATACAGAAAACTATAATTTTACCTGTGGTTCTGTATGGGTCTGAAACTTTGTCTCTGACATAAAGGGAGAAATATAGACCGAGGGTGTTTGAGAACAGGGTGCTGAGGAGAATATTCAGACTGAAGAGAGATGCAGTGACAGGAGGTTGGAGAAAACTGCATAATGAGGTGCTTCATAACTTGTACTCTTCTCCAAGTATAATTAGAATGATAAAGTCAAGGAGGATGAGGTGGGCAGGGCATGTAGTATGAATGGGGGAGAAGAATACATATAGGATATTGGTGGGAAAGTTAGATGTAAAGAGATCACTAGGAAGACCAAGGAGTAGGTGGGCGGACAATATTAAAATGGATCTTAGGATAGGATGGCATGACATGGATTGGATTGATCTGGCTCAGGGCAGGGACCGCTATAGGGCTCTTGTGAACATGGTAATGAACCTTCAGGTTCCATAAAATTCTGGGAGCTCTTGAGTAGCTGCACAATTGGCAGCTTCTCAAGAAGTGCTCAGCTCCGTGAGGGAGTGAATCATAAGTGATAAGTTATGTAACAATAAGTAAAAGGGCAATTATGAGAGCTGAAATCATCATTTGCCTAATGGGACTGAAGAAACCAACAAAAACATCACTCAGAAGAGCCAATGCTTGAGCCAAGATTCAACCCTAGAACCTTACAAATATGATGCAGAAGGGCTAATCACTAAACTGCATAGCCCAGTAACAGTTCTGTGTAAACTTAAAACTGATGCAGGGAGCAAACATTATAACAGCTCACTTGGAAATGTGTGAGCTGCCAGTGATACTACACACTCACCTAACAGTTCCTTTAGAATGAGCTGCTTTCTGTAGTCTATACTTAGTGCATATGGTGGACAATATGGGTATAGCTGTGTGCGTGACACTTCAGAGTCAGCATATAAATCAGCAAGAATGTTGTATGACACCACACGGAACCTGGATAAACAAGCAGATCACATTATGAACTTTGAAGTTTCTTTGATGCTAAGTCCCTGAGCCAGCTTGAGCATGGTGATAATGAGAAAAATTCCACCACCCCCGCTAACAGATGAACCTTCATCACCGAGGCTAGAATTTTGGCTCACTTTCCTTATGTTATAATGTAAAATAGACATGGTACCATATTGTCTGTGTGCTCTTCACCCTTAATAACTTTTGAATCAACATACACATTAAGATTACAGCCTTCAGGGATTACACAGTGTAGTTTGTTAAGGCAGGTTCCTCTGAAACACCATCACATCCCAGAAGACAGCAATCTTGATGAAACTCTGAGAACCTCAGATTTCACAATGTACAGATATTCATAAAACTTGGTATGAATGTCATAAAATTAGAGGCCACCATGTCTCTGCATTTCATCACAGGATACAGGGGCTGTCTACATAACAATACTTGACAGTAAAATAAAATAGACAACAATGTCAGGATTAATTTATTGTGGTTATACTTCATACCACTACCTGTTTTAATCTTAATAGATCTCCATCGGGCAGTCTGAAATAATTACAGTCACTGAACTGTGTGTTACATAAAAATAAATTTAAATAAAATGGATCCATTTTTAAATCAAGATCATGCTGTATTTTTGTATTAAAATGTTAAAATTCTTGAAAATTGAGAATGTGGTTATGTATACATAATACTGATGTAATGGTGTAAGTGTTGTGTATGGTTTGATGGCTGTACATGTGTTTGTGTTTCAATCGGGAATTTCTTGTTGAACTGAGGGGTTGACATGGTCAGGTGACAGAGCGTCCTGTGCGTTACTTACTGTTTATGATAGTCTATTACAATAGTTCGTGTAAGTCTTCAGTTTATGGAGGTATGTGGTTGTACTAGCAACTTGATGAAACAATCTTGTGTTCTAGGTATATGGTATTTGTATGTAATTGTTGTCAGCTATCTTACGAGGTTCATGTACTCAGATATGTGGCTATATCCAAATTCTGTTGCATCTGTCTGTTCATAGGTAATGTGTGGATAGTCTTCAGCTATGTGTACGATCTTCAGTTGTTAGTATGCCAGCTAGGGCTTTGTGGTGTGGCCAAGGTGTGGTTGCCTGTGGTGTTATGCGGAAACTGAAGTGTGCTCGATATACACTGAATGTTGTTTGTCGCTGAGACAACATATGCACACATATAACGAATATATCTACAATATCAAAAGATAATTACAAATACAAATTTAATACCAAGTGATTACAATCTTTATAACTGTGTGGCTGATGATGGTATTAAGTCATCAACTGACTTGCAGTGGTTACTTTTCACTTTTTATACACAAAACAATTAAAATGCGAACTTACAATTTCTCAGGCAGGGTGGCTGTCTTTGGTGGGACGTATCATAGACCAGGGATGTGTTGAGACACAGCTTTGGAACACCTCCTCGTGGTCCTGCTGGGCAACAACAGTCTTGGGGGTCTGCATTAGCATGAGCCTCTGGGGCTGGCGGCCGAGTTTCCATAAAGTGCTATGGCTATTTGAACAGAGCCTCCCAGACGGCGGCATAATGACTCTTGGGTTTCATTACGATGTACCCGGGACGAATGCGGGAGAGCACTCCTAAGGGGGTAGCTACGGCTATTTGAGTTGTCTCCCCAGAGTACCGTTAAGGTGCCGCAAGCCTTAGGGCTCAACACTCTAAAATGGCTTTGACCAACCCATGTGGGGGGGTGGGAATGGGGGAGCTTTGAAGCAACCTCCAGGGGCGATAATCTCGTGTAGGATGCCCTGGTCGCAACCTCATGACAATTAGTATCGCACTCCCATTTATCATCTGGGATACCCCTCTCCCCCTGAACATGCACTCTTGGTCCTGGAGGCTTGTGAGGGTTATACTTATGAAGGACCAACCTCCTAAGCCAAGGTGTGAGGCATCGTGCCAAGGGCTGCATGGCACTGGGGGGGTTATTGGCCAGTGTCACGAATGACCCCCTCGGGGCACCACGCAGCACCCCGTTGTATTTATGCCTTCCACCCGTACGGGGCTCTGCAGGTGGCGACCTTTTAAATCCCCATTACTCGTGGGACCAAAATGAAAAAGGGATCCAACACAAAAACGAGTCACAAGGACCTTAAACTGAAGAGGGACCCCCCTTTAAGGGGATCCCTATGAGAAATGCTTCAGCAGGGAGCTGGAAGCTCTGGTGAACCATTAAAGGGCCCAGTTGCAGATGGCAAACCTGCTGTTGAAATGTCAGCCAAAGGCAAGGATGACCAGTGATTCAAAACTTGCCAGAGGCAAAACCAAAAACTGCTCTCCTGGGAGTCAGTAGTACTGACACACGATTGCAGGAGCCAGTACTTCTAACATACCTGCAGCAGGGGAAAGACTGGGACATCTAGGCTCTGGAACAGGTGGACCCCGTCTGGCGAAGAAACCTTTGTCTGGGGCCACTAGACGGAAGTTACAACAGGCAAAAGCTGAGACAGGCAAAGCAGGAACTGGGAGCAGTCAGCAACCAAGGAATGCAAGCTCATCCAAGCAGGGAGAAACCCCCACCGGCATCTTTAAGAGGCCAAGGTCGGAGGGCAGTACTCCTACAGAAACGGCTAGAACTCTGAAAAAGCCCAGGTATTGTAGGCAACTGGGGACTTACAAGGAGGCTCTGACCAATGTAAAGGTAGCTATCTTCAAGGAGACTTACCCTGAGGATAAGCTTGCCGAAAACAACCAAAATTCCATTCTGGAAGCATTGGGCAAGGTGTTACGTAGGACTCCAAAGGAAGAAATACCACACCTGAAATCCTACAGACTGTTGGGAGGTGCACTTATCTATATATGTGCCGACCAACAGTCTGGTCAATGGCTCATCAGAGCCATTGACAACCACAGGCTCAATATCAGGGACCAGGCTGAAGGCTACTGATGCCAGGAACCTGCCTAAGCCTGTTAAAGTAGCTCTCTGGACTAGGGACAAAATTGCCCAAAACCAGGAAGAGCTGCTGAAATGGACTGCAGACCTTAATCCGGGACTTTATACAGAGAACTGGAGGGTTTTAGACAAGCAATCTGAGTCGAAAGGCCAAAGGCTTATCCTACTCATAGACCGGAACTACTATACAGAGGACCGGTTATAAAATATTCACAGGACTCTCACAGGGGACTGACCGGGCAGAACCCGTGACAGACACTGTATCTTCCAACTCAGTCTCTGAGGAGGAAGGGGATGAGGTACCCAGCCCCCCAAGTGACCAAAGTAAAATGGATCAGGGGACCTCTACAAATGGAACCCAGTCCAAGAAAGAAGAGGGACATAAGATGGAAATTGACACCTCCTCAATTGGAAGAGATCACGAAATTTCTTCAAATTAACCTACACCACAGCAAAGCTGCCACGGCAGCTCTGTGCCAACAGCTAGCTGAGGGTAAAGCAGACATAGCATTTATTCAGGAACCTTGGTTATACAAGGGTCAAATAAGGGGCTTAAATAATACAGGGGGAACAGTTTACTCTGTTGTACCCAGTAATAATGCAAGATCTTGTGTTTATATCAGGAATCATGTTAATGCCTTGCCTTTGCTGGAGCTCTGTTCTACGGATACAACAGCGGTAAGGATAACATACCCGTATCGAGAAGACAGCAAGGAGCTGATAGTTGCTTCAACCTACCTTCCATATGACTCGGATGAACCACCACCAACCAAGGAAATGAGGGACATCATAGACTACTGCTTTAGCAGGAAGAAGTAACTCATCATTGGGTGTGATGCCAACGCGCACCACTGGGAGCACCAGCACTAACCCAAGGGGAGAGAGCCTTATGAATTTCTGGTGAGTTCGAACCTGAATATTTTAAACCATTGTAACGAGCCTACCTTTGTGGTTTTGCAACAGGAAGGAGGTTATTGATTTGACACTAGGGACAAATAACATAGGAAACCTGGTAAGTAACTGGCATGTATCTGATGAGCCATCTTTATCAGATCATAGATATATATGCTTTAAAATAAGTAACATCACAGTAGATCAAACTACTTATAGCAATCCTAAGAGGACCAATTGTGAGTCTTACAAAGATGACCTAAAGGTAAATCTAAAGGCCATCTCGCGTAATATACGCACAATAAAGGATGTTGATCAGCCCATTGACCAGTTGCAATGGGCTATTATCTCATCCTTTAATCAGAATTGTCCGGCTAAGACCACTCGCAGACCAAGGAGAACGCTTTGGTGGAATAAACAGCTGAGTGGGCTTAGGATCAAAACAAGAAGGCTGTTCAATACAGCTAAAAGAACAGGGCAGTGGGACACCTATAAGGAAGCCCTTACCTGTTACAACAAAGAAATAAGGGAACCCAAGCGATCCTCATAGAGGAGGCACTGCCAGGAGATCAATGATGTACCAGGCGGTGCCAGACTCATGAGAATCATGGCAAAACAGGCGACCAACAAGGTCAGCACAATTAAGCTGCCTAACGGACAGTATACTCAAACAGGAAGGGAAACGCTGAATGAATTATTCAGGCTGATATATTGGGTTTTTGGACTTTATCCATCGTCCTGGTTTTTAAGATAACTAATAAAAACACGACGTTTCGGAAACTGGATCTGTTTCCGTCCTCAGGTGAAGGAAAAACCTATTCTGTTGGGTCCGTTAGAAAGAGCTAGCCTCAATCACTGGATCAATCGTCCAGACTGAACCCTCAACAAGTCATGGAAGCCTCTCATCTCTTCCCTCAAGAGAAATCCAACAAGCCACCCCAGTTCTTCGTCATGTCATTGACGTCAGTAGCCTGTCCCCAGGCAACCGGTTCTTCTTGTCTAACCGCAACCTCCAAGTGCTATTGACCTCAAGTTTCCTGGATTCACTGGACGTTCTCGCCCCCTCCCTTAGCACACACACCATATATGGCCTTAATCGCTCCCCACTGCTCCTATTGGCCCGCTCTCCCTAACCACCACCCCTGCCTACTTCGTATATATAGCGGCGCCTTTCACTTCCTAATCATTAGAGCTACTGCTCTCTGCATTCACAAGCCATTCACCTGCTCTGAAGATGGAGGCGATACGTTCCTCCGAAACGTCGGCCAAAACGAAGAATACACAGCGCCAAAACCCAGAAGACGACTTTCTTCACTTTTTACATGTTCAAAAATATCAACCTAGGTTATCAAACTGTTACAGGTACTTACATTCTTCCATTAAGCCTTTCCTTTGTGAATACATGTCTCAACTCAAATGGACATGCACCTGGTCCAGCCTCAACAGGATTTATAGATACAGCTCCTAATGTAGGACCACACACATTTCCATTTTGCGGTGCACAAACTACCTTCAGATGGCAACCTATGTCACATGTACTGGGTGTATAGTAATACCCAGAACCCACTTCAACCCAGTCTTCTGGTATCTTTTTTCCACGATTAATGGTAGTATTCTTATACCAAACAAATCTGCATTCAGATTTATCTGCAAACAACACTTCCACCTTTAATGGATAAACAGGAAACCCGGCCATTATGTTACTTGGAAGTTTGATCAAACTAACCCATGGGGCATTCAAGATTATTGAAAACTTGGTATCTAGTATCTGCAGATATAATTCACTGTCAAATATAATGTCCTTACACATTTGGTCACCAGGAACTAGCTCTCCACCACGAAATAAACTGACTTCAATTTTATTACCGTCTTCTTGCTTTTCTTCTTCCCCAGTTCCTTTCTTTCTCTTCTTTTTCTTATTCACCCTTCTTTCAATATTGGCGCTTATTCGAGCTAGTAAGTCATTTACTTTCTCTGATAACTGTCTACTGAAATTAAACTGACGATCCACCCCAAGCAAACCATTTCTGAGTTGAAACGACAGTTGAAACTGATCTTCTCCATCTTGGCAACGTATATAGGCGTTTTGCATTTTCTGACAAGCTTCACGAATTTGTATACGAAAAACTATCATGCGAATGTTCACTAATTTTAATACGGATTGTATACGCATGACACTTTAGTTTCGGACACCAAAGTCCTTAACGTTCCGTATCAATGTGATAACAGAGGTTATGAACACCAATAATTAACTATTTTCCATGCCCATTGTACATACAAAACCACATGTCACTTTCTTTTCTAAAGGCTCTAAAGGCTTCCACACACCAGAGCCCGTGAAACTCCCACGTTATTGGTTGGCAACATGCCCGCCATGACACCTCGGTGCAATGCTGCTGCCATCTCTAAGCATCCTACATGAACCAAATTTAAAATGGCCGCCAGGGTTGAGAGCACAATCGGTAAGAAGATATGCTAGCTTAACCTTTAACTATTTTGAATGCTCCCCCTCTCGCCGCACGGCCCCCTCCAGACATGCCCTTTTCGCTACTAGCAATAAATACGTTTACAACCAGATCTCTTGTATTCTGCAGTAGAAGAGATCTGGTTGTGAAAGTATTTATTTCCCCACAAACCTATTTCTATTTTTGAACTGTGTTCAGTATCACTAGTTGAGGAGAATGAGGTTGACAGGGCATGTAGCACGAATTGGGGAGGCGAGGAATGCATATAGGATATTGGTGGGAAAGCCAGAAGGAAAGAGACTACTGGGAAGACCAAGGTGTAGGTGGATGGACAATATTAAAATGTATCCTAGAGAGATAGGATGGATGGTATGGTATGGATTGGACTGATCTGGCTCAGGATAGGGACCAGTGAAGGGCTCTTGTGAACACGGTAATGAACCTTCGGGTTCCATAAAAGGCTGGAAAATCCTTGAGTGGCCGCATAATTGGCCGCTTCTCAAGAAGGGCTCAGCTCCATAAGTAAGTTCAATATCACTTCAACCATATCCTTTAGGTTGGATTTGAGTGAAGTGTTATTAAACTTCGTTCCCCCTCCCCTTTTCCAAAAAAAAAACAACAGAATAAGAATCTCTGCAGCTCTGGAGTACAAGATATTAGGTTGCAAATTATTTATCTGGAGAAAGTTTCTTACCAGTGCCTGGAAAGTCCTAACCTTTCTTTCACATGAAACACTTCTTTAACCAAAGGCACTGAACATTGTGAGCTGTAACATACATGGAATACTTGTATTTAGGAAAGCTGAATGTGGGGAAACTTGAAAGAAAATTCTGTTTCCATCAGAGATACATATATTAACCTCATAATTTTTTTATAACTTACACTTGAAAGCCATACAGAACATAGTTTTTCGGTTACATTCAAGTATTATAAATCATGTATTGTAAGCAACAATACTCATGTTCCCATTTATTATTTTCATTAGAATGATGGAATTCGAGAATGTGAAATACACTCTTGTCAACAAGATTAAGATTGCATTTAATGATATAAGAAAATCTGATATATTCATCTTCACCAGTTCAGTACTGGGCAGAATAATATGGCAGAAATAATAATATATTGTAACGTTACATATAGCCTGTTACGTAATCGGTACCGCTGTTCGCTGACACCATGTCACAGTGCGGAGGGGGGGACGGAGCGCTGACTCATCCGCCACGTCACTGCTGGGTAGGGAGGGGTTGTCCTCCATTGTGCAACATGTCACAATATCTTAAAGAAATATAAATAAATACTGAAAATGTGGTATCTATTCATATTCCAGTTCAGTAATGGAAAGGATTATATAGAATATGTACCATAACTTAAAAAAATGTAAAGAATACTGAAAATTTGGTATATTGTATATTCATATTCCAGTTCAGTAATGGAAAGGACTATATGGAATAAGTAACATGTCTTACAAAAATGTAATGAATACTGAAAATTTGGTATCTATTCATATTCCAGTTGAGTAATGGAAAGATTTACATGGAATAAGTAACATATCTTACAAAAAAAGTAATGAATACTGAAAATCTGGTATCTATTCATATTCCAGTTCAGTAATGGAAAGCTTTATATGGCAAAAGTAACAAATCTTACAAAAAAATGTAATGAATACTGAAAATCTGGTATCTATTCATCTTCCAGTTCAGTATTGGATATGATTATATAGCAAAAATTAATAATATGTCTTAAAGAAATGCAATTACTATTGAAAATCTTATGTTCATGTTCACCAGTTCAGTACAGGTAGGATTATATGGCAAAAGCAAGAGAGGGAATACACCTATAACAACAAAAGTGAATAACAATGTAACGAAAATGAAATGGGTAAAGAAATTACATAAATAGTCCTACCCACATTCAATCCTGACACTGATTCTGCTTCTCAGAGTTTCACACTGAGGTGGATAACCTGAACTTGCAAGTCCATTATAAATAAATGCCTTTTCATTCTTACCTACACATAAACACGACCCACACAATTCTCAATTGAAATATAATTACTTGAAGATAAAAGCCAGAATGAACTCTGACCCAGTGAAGTTCTAATGTTCTGAGACGAAGGAAACATGTTTGAAAAGAGGGGAAGAGATGGAGCTCAAGTTCAAAGTAGGTTTCTTGTATGTAATCGAACTGTGGACGACAATGTGATCCTTCACTGCACAGTAGTTTCTGTTGCTGCACTGCAACTGCTTCTCACCAGGGATACTTTCTCCAACTTATGAAACATCTAATGATGCTCACGTGACTATTTAGCACACATATTCTTCCAGTAATTCTATAACTTCTGTCAATTTCCAAGGTTGGTATGGACAGGACATTAAAAGGGAAAAATGAAGAAACATTACTTTCCTAATGACTTCCTGATGAGTCAGTATCTTCATCTTCCTCTCTGTGGCCCTCTGCCTGGCTGCTTCAGTCATCAACCTGTTTGTTCACTTACACTACCAAGGAATGTAAATTCTTGTGAGACATCTCACAATACCATCTAACATTCGTTTGTGGTGAAGTGAACAGCCAGTACACCTAACCCACTCGCAGTCAATGGTGCTCTTGATGGCAGCTGCGATATGCTGCTCCACTGAATTCAAGTGGGTAGCCTCTGCCATTATAAACTCCATCAGAGTTACAGCAGTAACAACGGTCTCCACCAGCTTCTCAGATGGATATGTGAGAGACTGTTCTGTATCACTGCACTCCTTGAAATATATGAAGACACTGGCTGATAGCAGCAGTTCAGATGTCAGGCATGTCTTGCATGCATCACAGCTGACACCACGAAGCACCTGTCTGACAATAGAACCACTGATGTGAGCTACTGAGAACACTTCCATGTCACCAGCAGGAACTGCAGGACTGTCCATCTGTACTTGCTGAGCAACATGGAAACTCTCAGGCACACCAGCAGGGGTTTCCTTGTCATGACTTGTGGAAACATTTCGTGAAGCAGCATCAGGTTCCCTGAGGACCAATTGTAGGTTATCCAGCAGAGTAGCACCATCATCCTCACAATTAGTTCCCCCCCAGACCTTTAAAAGCAAGGCCATTTATGATGCTAGTCTTCAAGGCATCTATAAACTGTCCCACAGTTGGGTTATTGTTCAAACCACAGTACGAATGAATAGCCCCAAATGTGTTCTCCAGGGGATCCTGATTCAGGTTTTGGGTGTGAAGGTACTTAAAACCCGCCTCTTTCGGTATCCTCCACAAATGCTGGGCAGCAGTGATGTCAACTAGCCACAAATTCTGTGGAGGAGGAGGATGAAGGAAGGTGGGTTTACCATCCTTGAGGAAGATCCAACTGTTTATCCCCATACTTGCCTTTTTCCAGTGCTCTATATGGGGACTGTTGTCACTGAGTGGGCAATGCAGTGTTTTCCCTTCGTCAACACCTGTTCCTTTCAGCTGTAGTGAAATCACTTTGAGAGAAACGTTTACTGCACAAAACTTTATGGTACAGCATTCTAGCAGAATCAGTAGTACAGGATAACCCAACTCTTCCTGCCCATACCATAGCCCTGTAAGGGTAATACATATTGTCTCAAAACTTTGAAATAATTCATCAGTAAACATTACAAACATGGTGTAGGTGTTCCAGTACATCATGTACTAAAACAGACATTCATTCATTTATTTACTTTCCTTGAATCCTTACATGGCTGGGAGAACAGTGGATATAGTAATAGTCAAAGACAACAGGACAAGCCCCATCAATTATGCAAATAAAAAATAATTAAACTTAATCCATAACAATTACACATATTATCACACAAATCACAGCGAGTAAATCATTAACACAGTTATAAAATATACATGCGAAA